AATTATTTTTAACAACTAGCAAAATATAGCTCGCTATACCGCGCGTGAAGTTTTCTATTGAATCCAAATCTTTGGCCAAAAATAAAAAATTCAAAATGGCGACCAGAAAATTTAAAAGTTAACGAATAAAGCTAAAAATGGTTAGTTTAGGAATTTTACACGATCTATTATCTTAGTGATAGAAAGCATTTAGAATTTTTTATTTTCGACAAAATATTCGAATTCAGCGACCCCGAAAACCCCCGAGTAACCATTTTCATCTAAATTCATTACTTCAAAATATGTTTGGTCGCCAATTTGTAGCCGCCATTTTGAATTTTTTATTTTCGACAAAAAATTCGAATTCAGCGACCCTGAAAACCCCCGAGTAACCATTTTAAGTCATATTTGTTAACTTTTAAATGTTTTTTTCTTCGAAGCGGCTATAGCCGTCATAGATATACAGGGCACGACTTTTCTGTGCGGTTATAGCCGTCAGTGACAGTGAAGGGATTAATTTTTGGTAAAAATATTTTTTCATTTAGTCCAATATTTTCCGAGGGGGAGGTGGTCAATGTTTTGGAATTTTACGGTACTCCGCAAATTTAATAATTTCTTTTTCTTAAATATCAAATGAATTTTTTTTATCAATATCGAGTTTCGAAACCTTTTTTGATGCTCCTTCGATTAATAATATGCATTTTTGAAAAAATAAATTTTTTGACCAAAAAAATGAAACTCAAAAATAAATTTGACTTTTCTGGATAAAACGCACGATTTATTTTTTAATCGAAAGCTTAGATTTTTTCTACAAAAATATAAAGTTCAAAAAATGGGAGAAGAATGCTTAAATATTGAAAAATAGGAAAAAATGATTAAAAATGGTAAAAAAAGAAAAAAAATGTTAATTATCAATATTTAAAAATTCTTGTCCCACTTTTTCAAGTGTAGGGGAGAGTGAGGAGTTGCGCTCCAGGTTTTGTTTTTCAATTAAAATTATTACATAATTTTTTTTTGACTTTTCTATTATATAAAACTTTTAGTACACGTACAGTGAAGTTTCATTTTTTATATGTTATATATAAAATTAAATCTATAATTAAATGATAAGTCATAATCAATAATAATAAATCGAAAATTACAAAGAACAGATGATGCAATTCGACTCTACATGATAAATTTCTAAAGAAATATGCATAACAATCCAGACGTTATTCAACCAATTTCTTATAACAAATATTATAAACAATAGGAGTTACTGCGTACATGTCTTTGCCTATGCTCAACTAACTACTCGGTTAAAAAAACTTGTACAGGATCGTGTACGCGATCTTGTGCACGATCGTACACTGATCTTGCACAAGTGCATTCATCAGGTCATGTACAAGAGCAGCAAGTGAACATGTAAAAAGCATGGGAACCACGATCTTGTACAAGAACATATACAACATGTTCATTCATGGTAACTATAGAAATCAAATTCTCGAGTTAATGCTCGTGTACTTGTATAAGATCGTGCGTAAGTTCATGTACATGAACTTGAGTTTTCCCTTACAGTTTATAATAAAAATCTTTAATAGCTGCACAGTAGTTTTCTATGGCTTATATAGCTTCGCAGATGCAAAAATAAACAAACTAACACAAGATCTTATACAAATACACAAGAGTGGACTCGAGAACTTGATTTGTTTAGTTACCATGAATAAACATATGCATATTCCTCTACATATTCTTGTACAAGATCGTTGTTCCAATTCTTTTTACATGTTAACTTGATGCTCTTGTACATGACCTGATGAATGAACATGTGCAAGATCAGTGCACGATTATGCTCAAATTCGTGTACACGACCTTGTACAAGTTTTTGCAACCGGGTACACATGTCTTCAAAGTCAATATCCAAGTAGCACGTAATATTAAAGTGTGCGCCTCATGGTTTTTTAATAATGCTTTAGAGTACGTAGCGGATTTTTTATTGGTTTGTTTGTTTTTTTGGCAATAGATTTTTTGAAAAAAATTCGTTCTAAAAATCGACTTTTTCCTTCAAATAGCTGCCAAATCCACAAAAATTAATATTTTTAAAATATCCTACATACTCTAAAGCTAAATCTATCACAGATTCAAAAAAATTTGAATTTTTGTTTTGTATTAAACGGTCTAACCGGAATCTTGCCCACCGATTTGCCCTGAAGAGAAACGAGACCAACTTTAGCGGCATCTATAGTCAACAAATTAAAACTTTTTTTAAGTATAAATATATTTTCGTATGCTTAGAAAGTTAACAAATTCCATAAAAGACAAGATTTAATAGCAGGTTTTTTATATTTTATACTGGAAACTACCAAGAGCGTACGGCATTAGTCTTAGTCCGCTCTACGGAAAAATGTTCTTTACGTGGAATATTATAAACACTCAGGGCCATACAATGAACTGCCAGTTCAAAATACATTTTTAGCAAAATACATTTTACATATTATTATAAATATTAATACATTTTGTTTTTATAGTAAAGTATTGTAAGTTTTCATTTTATAATTAATATTTTTTTTCAAAAATTTAGTAATTAATAAGACAATAAAGGTGCTTGCATAATAACGGTACACTCAAAGCAGACGCTCCTGTTTTCTATTTTCGATTTCTGATCCCGCCAATCTCTTCCCTCCTCACTCTTTACCACCCCGCGCAGATAGTTCGTCCGCTCTTGGGAGTTTTCAGTGTAATTCTAAATTATAATTGTAATATTTTCAAATATAATTACGAAAAATATTTAATCTTTTGACATTCTAGGGTACATAAATAGCCCACAAAAAGTCATTTCGTGACATCTTTTTTGACAGGGCTAATTTTAGGGTACAGTACAAAAAAAGTAATTAATTTAATTTAAGTATTATTGTGTATTCTTAGGTTTTTTGGGTCGCTGATTACGAATCCAACGTCAGATTTGGAAAATTCGAAATGGCGGAGGCAATATGGATGACGAATTTTTCAAAAATTAAACATATTTGCTTGAAGATCGTTACTCGAGGATTGTACCCATACCAAAGAAGGGGAAAGAGATCCTGCAGACTATCGCCCAATCAGCCTCACACAAAGTATAAGTAAACTTACCACAAATTGTTTTAAAGAATCTTGTTAAGCATGCTTCCTATAAACTAACAATTTAATGTTTCACAATCTTTTCTCTCCTTTTTTCAGAAAACTTACTCCTATAACTTTCTGGAAACTAACACGGAAAAGTCAAAAGCGGGGGACATATAGAGCTACAGAAAACTAATTGTGTTAAATTCCGAACTTAACTTGGTTAGTTTCCCGTTAGCTTCCTGCAAAATATGGTGCTATGTAGAAAGTTTATTGTAAATTTACTACAAACTTACCACGTAATCTTAAGAGACGCATGAAAATCCCCTAAACTTCATATAGCAGAAATGCCATTTGACAGAAATTTATATAACAGAAATTTTATTGGACAGAATATTTACATGGCAGACAATTCATATAACAGACTTTTCATTGGACAGACGTTTGATTGGACAGAATTTTTATCGAACAGAAATGTCACTTAACAGAAATTTTATCTGACAGAATTTCCATTCAACAGAACATAAGTATAGCAGAACTCTCATTGGATAGAATATTTACACGGCAGACGATTCATATAACAGACTTTTCATTGGGCAGACGTTTGATTGGACAGAATTTTTATCGAACAGAAATGTTACTTAACAGAAATTTTATCTGACAGAATTTCCATTCAACAGAACATAAGTATAGCAGAACTCTAATTGGTCATAATTTAACTTTTGCATCATACATTCTCATTCCTGCTTTAGTTTTAACTTGTCGGTAAAGTAGACGTAGAGGTCAGTAGTTGCTATTTCTTTCTCGCCCCAAAGTTTGAATATTAAATAATAAAACTAATATTTTATTTCATTATTATTGATAATGAATACCTAATAATTATAAGTAAATAAAATATTAGTTTTATTATTTAATATTCAAACTTTGGGGCGAGAAAGAAATAGCAACTACTGACCTCTACGTCTACTTTACCGACAAGTTAAAAATATAGCAGGGATGAGAATGTATGATGCAAAAGTTAAATTATGACCAATTAGAGTTCTGCTATACTTATGTTCTGTTGAATGGAAATTCTGTCAGATAAAATTTCTGTTAAGTAACATTTCTGTTCGATAAAAATTCTGTCCAATCAAACGTCTGCCCAATGAAAAGTCTGTTATATGAATCGTCTGCCGTGTAAATATTCTATCCTATGAGAGTTCTGCTATACTTATGTTCTGTTGAATGGAAATTCTGTCAGATAAAATTTCTGTTAAGTGACATTTCTGTTCGATAAAAATTCTGTCCAATCAAACGTCTGTCCAATGAAAAGTCTGTTATATGAATTGTCTGCCATGTAAATATTCTGTCCAATAAAATTTCTGTTATATAAATTTCTGTCAAATGGCATTTCTGCTATATGAAGTTTATGGGATTTTCATGCGTCTCAATCTTAAAATGGCCTTACCATATAAGGTTACATATTGTGGAAGTTTTAATTTTAACTTAAGTCTACTGCGAGCTTGCGGTGTAATTTCACAAGCCTTTTAATGTTATGTGACTGATAGGTCTGTAATGTTAATTTGTCGGTTACTTTTCTCGTAAAATACTAAATGGATTGAGTTGGAATTTTATGGAGGAGTTTCAAATATGATAAGGAATGTTTGTCATGTGCGAAAATGTTAATATATTATTAAATAATTATTATAAAACACCTGAAAATAGTTAGAAAATGTGTGGTTAGGAGTGTCAGTTATTCTAACAATTTTTATGCCTTATATTATATTTATTTAACAATATATCACATGACCTTAAATAAATTTAAAGTATCCTTACTGCAATATATTGTGCTATGTGCGTAGTGAATTTATAATAAATCATTTTTATATAATATTAAGCAACTTAAAATATGACTAAACAGTGATCAGAAAACTGACTATAAATAATAAATTTTTGTAACTTACGGTTGTCTAAACAAACAAGTTCATAAAAATGTTGATTTGGACTATTGTTTCCACCAATGTCATCTCTTTGAGAAACTGAGTCTTCTTCAAAAATAGCACATTGATGAGTTTGTTCATCATATTCAACACTTCGACAAAAATACTTCTCTGCTCTTGAGCAAAGAGCTTGGCATTCATCTAATGTTAAATTTGCATAAACATCGAGTTCAAATGGACCTTTTAGGCGCATCTTAACTTCTTTCACAAAAATCATAAGACCATCACATCGACGATCAGCTGCAATAAAAATTGATATAAACATTTTTTAAAAGATCGCTAAACAAATTATCACATTTAATTTTAAACGTAAAACTTATTATTTACATAATAATTATAAAATGAAAAGGCCTAGAACGGTTGTATGATATTAAGTGCTGACTGACAGATGAGTATATAAAAATAAAAATATATGGTCAAGAGGCCATACTTAAATTGCGCAACAGCTCATACGGAAGAGATTTGAATAATTGTTTTTTACAGGGGAAAGGAAGTGTGTGCTTAATGGGTATATGTATTTTTCTAATTTCAAAAAATAAAGTACAAAATACATATTTGCTGATATAATTTTTTCACCAAGTTTCGTGACTGAAGATTTTAGATAAGAAAAATAACAAAGTCTATATTAAAAACTTTAACAAAAATAAATTAGAATAGATCAAAATAAACGAATACATGGAAATAAAAGTATTTTATATTAATTTCGGAAGTTTTGCTATTCATTTTGAAGATAATCTGGTAGCCACTTTTTAATTATTTTAAATATTTTATTTTGAGATGTTAATAGCATCTTTGCCAAAATGCTTCGTATACTTTTGATAACTGTACAGTATACAGTCCCCTCGACAGTCTCGTCGGAAGTTATTGGTACACCAGACGTGCGAGGAGTGGTTTGATGCTGACTTTAAGGGGAGGTTCCTATTGCGGGAGTAAAAAAATCTATTTTTTATTGCATTTTTTGACAGTTATAAGGTAAAAGAACCCATTATGGGACAATTTATAAAATTTTACCTATTATAGGACAAACTTAGAAAACATTCATTTAAGACCTGTACATTAAAAAAGTAAACCGAATAATTTTTTTCATGATAAAACACATATTATAATTCACAGAAATAAAATAATAAATGACCCAGTGTGCACGGTCTAGAACTATTCTATAATAAAAAGGTAACAGTGTTCTAGAACAGTTGTTATCATTTTATTATAGAACAATTCTAGAACTGTGTTATAGATTTGTTCTGTATCTGTTCTGTAATGCAATGTTCTAGAACATTAGTTCTCGATTTGTTCTAGAATTGTGCCATAGCATGGTTCCTGCTTTGTTATAGAACAGTTCCATTGCGAATGTTCTAGAAGTTTTTTATAAAATAAAAGTAACATTGTTTAAAAACAATTGTTTTCTGGTATGTAAAAAATGTGTGCCTATAAGAAGTAAAGATAAATAAAGAAGATAGTGAAATTCATAGGAACAAATATTTATTGAATATAAAAGTTAAACGTAAATGTTTAAAGATCGCTCTTGATGACAATAAATGCGTGATTATTGTCATGTTGCATGCGAATAATTAAAATGATTATAGTAATACTCCGAATTAGATTGTATGAATTATACATAAGTTTATACATAAGTTTTTCATTATTTTTAAAAATTGTTTTTCAAATTTATATTTAAATTTAGTATTTGTAAAAAATCAAAAATAATTTTTAATGTGTGTTAGAACTGATTTAAGGATTAACAGTGAATAAATGTCGACTTTTATGTAAATGTATAACAAATGTTTTTCTTATTTTATTCAAGCAAAAAGATCATTTTAAAAAAATTTTGTTTTGTAATTATTATGGATTTGTTCTAGAACAATGTTCTAGAATACTGTTCTAGAACTGTTCCTTCAGGGGGACGATATTTTTAGTAACCAGTTAGTAACAAGTTCTAGAAACTGTTCTTTTTTGTTCTAGAACTGTTACAGAATTGTTCTGTATCCTTGCACACTGGGGAGCTAAAAATTAATTTAAATTTTTAAAAAATTAGATTATTGCGTAAAGTCAAAAAATGGAAAACATCGTTCATGATTCCAGCAAAATGTCTAAAACCCTGTGACTTATTTTTTATTATTCTGCAAAATTAAGACTATAATGTGTTATGTATAAGTGATGAAATAATTCGTTTTTTATTCTAGAATCTATTTAAAAAATGACATAATTTAAACTAAATTACTTTCTTGAGAAAAATAAATGTCTTATAACAAGTTCATAATTTCATACGTGTCTGAAATTATGGGACGGCAAAAGGCTTTGTCTCAAATCAAAGTACATTTTTTAAACCCCGATCCTATTATAAGACACTTCAATTTGTTAATTTATTTACAAAATCTCTAATTATAATTATTCTCAAGGATCATTGTTTATTTATTTTAATTATACAATATATAAATAAAATAATTAATTGAATCCAACATAACCTCCAAATTTTGTTTGTACACAATTTATGCGATACTTGTTTATATATTTCTTGTACACTGAGAAAGAAATGCTACTGAATCAATGAAATAGTAGATTGTCGCATCAAACGGTTTATTCAATACCGTTCGAAGACATTTGCTTCGAATTTGCTTCATTCGAATGAAGCAAATTGTCGTCGACAATGCCCGCCAATTTCGGTCAATGTCTAGAATTATTTATATTATGCGGCTTTTCTAGGCAATGTCAACAATGCCCGGTCCACTTTGGGTGGTAATATAATTAAAGTTAACATTATATGTATAATTGACAATCAAGTGTCTAAAACCGATAAGATAATGTGAATAGAAAGTAATACTGTTTTTTTCTGACTATAAATTTCAATAATTAATTTAAATCTTGCTAGAAAATAGTCATATTTATGGGATAAATTTCCTGCAGCGAACTAAGTGAAAAAAAAGTTGATCGGATCAGACTGTAACTTGCACATAGTTCTGCCGTGTGATATAAGAACTTGGTTAACTGACATTTATGTCGAAGCGAAAAAATAGGGAAAAACTGTTTGCTTTCAGAAAACTAATAAGAATTAAAAAATTATTAAATTTAACTTCACATACTTGGTATAATGATGGTGCTTTATTTAATTATGAAATAAAAAATTAATTATTTAAACAAATTATATGAAATAATGCACTTGTGTGTTTTTCCGAATGCAAATATGAAGTAAAAAGTTTGGGAAAGTCCTTTGCGTAGTGTCCACGAAATAGGTACGCGAGCTCGGTCTGCTGATTTCATGGCAGAACTTAGCTAACTGCAGTGACGTCATGTGGTAAGGGGATAGTTGCAACAGTTCTATAATACGTTTTACGAATTCACAAATCATTTTAAAAGTACATGAACACTGCAAATAAATTTTCACCAAATAAGAACTAATTAGACAATGTTAATTTTGAATAATGATAATAATAATATACGTTTAAACTACTGAAATGAAATGAACAATCTTTATTATTAAGTTTAAAAACATTAAAAAAAATCGTCTGAGTTAATTTTACTTACAATTTCTTCGTTTTTTATTTCTCAATTTCAACTTGATACACTTTTCATTCCGCTAAACATAACCTCTGAGTTGAAGTTTTGACAGAAGCAAGGGAAACAGCAGCTTACTGCCTGCGACCCGAGGACAATCCGAGTTTAGCCGAATTGCAGTTAAGTAGTCGTTCGGCTCTGACTCGACTCAATTTTTGATGGAAGAACTTAGCTAATTGCAAGCGCTGCAAATGTGAGGTTTTTATTTCAAATCCAACGCTCAAACTCGACTACTTATTTGATACAAAAAACACACAACTGCCTTTGACTAAGTTTTTCCTTCAAATCTTATATTCGAGCTCGCAGCCTCATTTGTTTTTTGGACTACGCAAAGTACTTTCCTCAACTTTTTATCAAATATTCTTTCATTTTCTGGAGTTTTTAAGATTTTTAATAACTATTTTTTATATACAATAATTTGCAAAAATTATTTAAACTATAACTATTAGACGCAGCTTTTTCTTACGAGTTCATTGATACCAAAAACTCATTTATTTTCGTCAAAATGTCAGTTAACTAAGTTTTTATATCACACGGCAGAGTTTACAAAGTTACTCACCCTGAAGGTCAGTAATTTAACCACGAAGTATTGTTAGTAGGTTTTTTCAGAAACTGTTGGATAGGGAGGGGGTTGAATTTTTTTGAAAAATTTAAACAGTGAATTTTTGAAGACTTGTAACTTTTAAACAGAAATAAGAAAAAAAATTTGTCCTATATGTTTTCGAAAGGTTTTTTCCTGCTTTTTCAAATAGTGCAAAAAAAACTTTCAAAAAATTAAAATTTTGACCCTTTTTTGAAAATTAAACATTAATTTTAATAAAAAATAAAATATTTTACAAATAAATAAAGTTATTGCAATCCTGAAGGTACCAATTGAAAGCTGACGTAATTCCGCATCCAACAAGCCCTATATGGGCTATTTGGGATTAGAGGATTTTTTTATAAACAATTGCCATGTTAGCCAATTGTTTATTTACAATATACTAATCCAACGTACTTCATATAGAGCTAGTTGGATGTGGAATTATGTCAACTTTCATTTAGTAACGTCAGAATTACGATAATTTTATTTGTTTATAAAATGTATAATTTTTTATGAACCGTAATAGTTAATTAATTAACTAAAAATTGTAAATATTATATAAGTAGATAAAAAAACTTTTGACATATATGTTTTCCAAATGTGTTTTTGTGCTCTTTACATTGGTGAAAAAAAATTTCAAAAAAATCAAAATTTGACCCTTTTTTCTGAAAATAAAAAATTTTGTTGACTTTTTTTTTAAGTTCGGTCTTTTTTTTTAATTTATTACACAGGTTTACAGTGAAATTGTCACTCGAACAAAACATTTTTTTTTCGATGAATAGGGTAACGGCACCAGTGAAAGAACATTTAAGGAAATGCATACACTGAAAGAAATTTCATAGGAAAAAATAACAAAATGCGTATTACATTTTAATATATTCTTTTAGAATTTAGGGAAAAGTGTACTTTTTATTAAAATTCAATATACTTTATACTAAAGTTCCAACTTAAAATCTTTTTTCAAATATTAATAATTATTGTAGAAAGAACGTAAAAAGATTACCAATATTTGAAAATATTATATTAAATTCTCATAGAGTTGTTGCATTATATGGAATGTAGCGTTCTAATATTTGTAAAACTTTATACGAAAAATTCAGAATGTCGG